AGATATAGTTCAAAGAAGCAAATTTTCTACGCTCTAGTTTTAAAAGTCTTTCTTATAACACTGACCAAAAGAGTTTCAGATTGGATAAAGGAATAGCTGTTGCTGTTTGATTCTTGAAGTTGCCTCTGGCCCATGAGGGCTCTATGAATGAGCAACCTCCAAAATGTCATGTCGTTAAGAGCTTTGTTCAGTCCATGGATTCCTCTCTTGAGTTAATCCATCTCTTATATGGTTTTTTCCTTTTTCCTGCTGCCTTCAACTCTTTCTGGCATTATTGTGTTTTCCAATAAGTCTTGGCTTCTCAGGATGTGCCCAAAGGATGAAAGACTCAGTTGAGTCATTTTGCTTCAAAGGAGAGTTCAGGCTTGATTTGATCTAGGACCCACTTGTTTGTCCTTCTGGTGGAACAGAGGAGGCACTATATCAATGCTTATGGCTGCTTGAAGCATTTCATCATTACTGATGGCTTTTCTTTGTTCCTGTTGGAAGCAACCCAGTGGTGCTTCTACCGGCTGTTCTATGAGTGGGCAGGACCAATTTCTCAAGGAGTGTGACTGTCTCTGTGCTGGAAGGCTCCCAAAGCACTTTATTCTCAGCAAAGAAAAGATGGTCGGCTTTCTTCAGTCCTTTGAAAAGGTTGTGCTTTTGGTTTGGGATTTTTTTGGGGGGTGTGTGTGGCAGAAACCTAGCAGAATGAAGTCCTTGTCTTCTTGGGAGAAGAAAAAAAAATACTGAACAGATGGAGTGAATTAGAACCAGGAACTGGGTTAAGGAGGTGAAAGACTTGGATCCACACCATTTGGCAAATATTATCTTCAAGTCTGTTTTGTTTGGTTTTATAGACAGGAATGAATTGATATTTCAAATTCTCAGTTAACACTGCTGTAAATTAATTGGCTGTAGGTTGCTGGAAACTCGTCATTTATGCTGTGTACTTGTGATCAGGGATAGGGTCATTAGAAAGCCACGTTATAGCATTTAAAGTATATTATGTTCCCAGTACATTATTATCAACCACATGCAGTACACTCTTCCAAGGGCTGTGCCTGCCCCCTCCCTGTTGTCCTCTCAACAGCAGGCGAGGATCTTTATATTCTGGAGGGGTTTTGACGAGAGACTGGATGCTGAGAAAGGGTCTCCTAAATGGACTGGGTCTGTATTTTTTTATTGATACTTTTTGAGTCTGCTTTTAAAAATCAGTCTTTTAAGTTCCTTCTTGAATGTACACCTTAGCATGGTGCTGAGGTTTAGGTGTGAGTGAAGTGGAGACCAATGCTGTCAGAAAGCCAGACTCTGTTACAAGCCCGGATTCCTAGCAGAGTCACACAAGGCAGAAGGGTCACAGCTGAGACACCAGACTCAGATGCATCCACCCTCTTCAAGGCACCCACTGGGCAGCAGTGGTAGCTGAAAATGACACTTAGTAGAGGAGGCAACAGAACTGACACTCAAGTTAACTTTTGTTGGTACTGTGCAAAGGTGGCAATGGTAAACCCCTGCTGAACTTTCCTTAACATGAAAACCTTATAATGAGACCATCCAAAAGGAAACATGAGATAGTGCTGGAAGATGAGACTCCCAGGTCAGAAAGCGCTCAATCAGCTACTGGGGAAGAGCAAAGCACAGATACAAATAGCTTTATCACTAATGATACAGCTAGATTAAAACTGCACAGATTAAAAGACGTACTTTTAAGAATGATGTAGCAGAGCATTTAAAAAGGAATTTCTAAATGATATATAATTGTAACCTGTATGCGAAGTGTGCGCTGCTGCAACACAGCTGTACATTTCCCTTGTCAATATTTAGCTGACCACATTAAAATTATAACGCTAAATTGAAAGAATCCTCTCTTTCCAAAGGTCAGAAACTTTGCCCTTGAGCATTGTCTGTATGTCATTTAAAGACATCAAAAGAAGTCATGGAGGGAAAGCCCTAAGGGAACAATAGAAGAAACTGGGTATTTTAGCCTGGAGAAAAGAAATGCCAGTAAAGGCATGGTACCTGAAGGACTGTCAGCTTGTTCCTGTTCACCTCCTAAGAACATGTCTAGGCAAAATGGGCTGAAGTTGCAGAAAGAAACATTTCAAATGAAACATCAACTTTACAGTATGAGTAGGTGGGGAACAGTTACCTGCTTGGGTTGATGGTGATCAGAGAAAAGCTGAGGCTGTCTTGAGGATGCTTCAGTTCTGGATTTTCTGCATCAAGGAGGTCTTGAGCTTGATCTCCAAAAAGCCTTATTCCAGCGTTTCCGTCACATTTCTGTTACTATAGTGACTTGGAAGAGCTATTTGTGGGTCGCTTAAGTCCAATAATTTTAAAAAATAGACCTTGTGGGGGTATGTTCAGCTGGTTTCTGAGTTACAGAAAAACCTTAATTTCTGATGCTTTGCAACATTATCATTGTAAAGCCTTATCCATTCTGGATCCACCCTACCATGAAGGAATAAGGAGCCATTTTTCAGTTCAGATTAAAAAGGAAGCATCCTCTTTCTGCCTTCAACTTTTATCTCTGTATTGTTATTATCTTTTTTTTAAAAGAAGCCCAGCTGAAAATTAAGAGTGGAAGTGTCAGATGTGAAGACATCTAAGTGTGGCATTTTGTCCCTTCCATGAGGTTTACCATAGGTTGGTATTATGACAACATGCCAGAAATTGATTCATTTGCTGCTGATTACTGCCTAATTTATACAGTTGTTTCTTCAGTAATACACCAGCCTGAGGCATATTATTTCCCAAAGCAGAGCTAGGGAAATACACTACCAAAAAGGAGGACACCAGTTTGCACACACTTGTGTATTCTAGCTGTAGAAGACATAGCCATGTACAAGCATTATGGGTAAAAACAAAATAGAAATAAAAAGTAAAAAAAGACAAAAACGTGTTTGCACCTTAAAGACTAACTTTTAATTTTTTTAATGTGAGCTTTTGTGGACAAGTCCACTTCATCAGACATAACAGAAAGAACATGGCAAATATGTATGCATGGCATCAAAATTTAGATACCAAAACACAGAGTTTGTGGTTGGTTGGTTGGTTGGTGAGAAAGTCAGTGGGTATAATGTTGTGATAATAGTGTCTTTGATATGCAGGTCTAGGATGTGAGAACCTTTGTCATAAAATAACAATGGTAGAGCAACATGAATGATAATTAGATTGGCTATTTATAGTCCTTGATTAACTTTTCCCTCTTACAAGTTTTCCTTTGTAATCAGTTGCAATAGTGTATGAATTACTCCAGGCAATTGATGACCATGGGAGTAAAGTAAAGAATCTGTTTAACCTTATAAGTTTCTCAGCTGGATCTGTTAAGAGGGGAGAGCAGATTATTTGGGAGATGCAGTATAATGTTTGTACAGTACAATACTTGTAGTGTTTATTTCTGGTGGTGTCCTAAAAAGCCTTGGCTGATATTAAGTCCATTGATGTGTGCGTGTAGCATGTGTATATATTTTATCTCAGCTGTTTTTCTCTTGATTCTTGTCCTGTAGTTTCTTTTTTCTAGGATGACCACTTTCAAATTGTCTGTGGAATGTCCTGCTAAATTAAAATGATGTGAAATGGATTTCTGTGTGTTGCCATCCCTGATGTCTGATTTATGCCTGTTAATTCATTTGCTTAGAGATAGTCTCATTTTTCCTATATAGATTGCAAATGGGCATTGTTGGCAAAAAAAATGACATAAATAACACTTGCGGAAGAACAGGTAAAAGTACCTTTGATACAATTGTGTGTGACACCGTTATGTCCAGTAACTGTGTTGCCTGAATAAATGTGGGAGCAGATCTGGCATCTGGGTTTGTTGCAGAGTTTTGTTCCCATACCTCTGTCAGTGTTGCGTAGTCCATTGTGTGTCAGTAATCATTTGAGTTTGGAGGGTTGTCTGGGCTTTGGAGAGTGAAGTGCTCTTGTCGAGGATGGGTTGGAGATCACTTATGATTCACGTGAGTCGTCTCAGTTATGGACTGAAGGTGACAACTAGTGGTGTTCTATTATTTCCCCTTCTGGGTCTATCCTGTAGTAGGTTGCCTCTGGATATCTGTCTTTATTAATTTGTTCCTTAATCATATAGAGAGGATATTGTAGTCTGAGGAATGCATTTTGTAAATCCTTGAGTTTTGAGTCTCTATCTTGTGGGTCTGCAATCTTGTGTAAGCAATGGATTTTATTGTATGTTCGGGATGAAACCTGAAGACATGCAAGTGGGTGTATAGATTCGTGGATTTTTGGTACAGCGTAGTGATGAGTTGTCCATGTTGTGATTTTACCATGGTATCTAGAAAAGGCACTTGTTGTATGGATGGTTGCAGGTTGAGGTTGATATTCAGTTGAAAGTTATTGAAATCTTGGTGTGTGTTTTCTAGGGTTTCCCTAGAAAAATTATGCATTCTACTTTTTGTGTAAGACACAAAATAAGAAATAGTTTTCTGTAATTTAAGCAGAATTACAGTTCATCTGATATGAGGAAGACTCATTCTTACCAGGGGATCTGTATCCCTGTTGAGTCTGCTGAACTTCAGGATGCTTGATCTTCCATCTTATGGTTCTTTTTTGAAAAAATCAGAATTGAATTGACAGTCCTTCCAATGGCAAACCCATTCAAGAAGAGAATTCCCTCTGTAATTAAAAAAAACATAGTGGTCACTATCCTTAGCAGATAGTGGTTTGGGCTTACTACACAATTTGCACAGAAATCTTTGCTTTGATCTCTCTCCCCATCGTGGTGGTACTTGAAGCAGGTCGGTTCATGGCTGAACTTACAACTGAGCCACCTACTGTCCATAAACACAACGACATGACAAAAATGGCTACATATGTGAAACTGGCCCTTTTCCTCTTTTACCATTCATGCTGGCAAGAGAAGCAATTGATAAAAATGAGAAAGAGGAGGAGGGGACTTACTCTCTTTAATGCAAACAGAAGTAGAATTTGGGATTTCAATTTGTAGATCAATGGCACAGCACTTTGAATAAACTTACCTATTTCTCCACTTGCAGGCCCTGCAGACACCAACCCAGAAGCAGCCATGTCTGAGCTGGTGCCAGAACCCCGGCAAAAACCAGCAGTGCCAATGAAGCCTGTTGGTATTAATTCAAACCTTCTGGGATACATCGGGATTGACACCATCATAGAACAAATGCGCAAGAAGACCATGAAAACTGGATTTGACTTCAACATCATGGTTGTAGGTAGGAAGGCTTGGGCCTAAAGGGCTTGGGATGGTCTGTGGATGGGCAGCATGGCTATCTAGACAGCCTCACTATGAGCATACCTGTGGGACCACCGTTTGCATCCCTGGTTGTGCATTGGATCATGAGAATGGAGGACTCGGGAAATTAGCAGCCTGATCGATCAGACATCTTCTGCCTGCCTTCCAGCAGCAAGGTTCTACTGGCTGACATGAAAGAGTTGTGACCAATTCTGTACTTTCTTTTTCCTAGGCCAAAGTGGATTAGGCAAGTCGACACTTGTAAATACCTTATTCAAATCCCAAGTGAGTCGCAAATCTTCAGGTTGGAACCGTGAGGAAAAGATCCCTAAGACAGTTGAAATCAAAGCAATTGGACATGGTAAGGGCCAGGGTGGCGATTTCTGGCAATTCATCGTTTTCATGTTCTCTCTGACTTTCAAACAGTATCAAGACAACCCGCGGTGCATTATGCCAGATTCAAACAAAGAAACAAACAAACCAGCTATCCCCAGTGCCCAGGAATGGTACTGGTGAGCATGGTTTCACAGCAAGAAGACAAGACTCAGGAAATGGTTGAAAGGATACTGCATATATCATCTTCCTCCACCACCGCTGTGGGTTCCTTGCCCTGAGTGCCACTAAAAGCATTTCCTATGCTTTCCTGCATTTCCAGTGTCACACTGGAAATGCAGGAAAGCATAGCTTTCTGGAATCAAACTTCCAACCTCTGGCTCCACAGCCAGATACCTAAACCACTCATTTACTTGTGGGAAAGCAGTGTGGTGGTAAATTTCAAAGTTGAGGTGCTCATCATGATAGTCAAGCAACAAGCAAAGTTTTTAAAAAAAAAGGTAGTTGAATCAGTCAATATTAACAGATGAGCAGACATTTTCTACAACTAATGCCTCTTAATTGTCATTCAGAACCAAGCCACCCAGATACTTTGCATTGCCACAGAGGCAGCCTGCAATAAATAACGCTGTTCCTGGAAAAATCAGTTTCTCTCCCACTTACTGTAACCACTGCCAATAATTCAGAGGGGATAGGGAAGCATAAGGGGGCAGTTAGCAGATTATGTCATCATCCCTGCTACTCAAAAATCTTGGCATTTTGACCCAGCTTATATTTTACAGAAGCAGGAAGATGCGGGGTGGGGGGGATAGTAATACTTGTGGACATCGACTGGACAGTTTTTAACAGTGGAAATATTTACAAAAGTGATAAAATACAGCTTTGGGGGTGCTGTGGGGGTGCTTTAGAAGGGACTTAGCAGCTGGAGGATAAAATGTGAGAGACATTTAAATGTACCATTTTGGAGAGGTACTGGGTGAGCAGATTAACCAGTCCAGAAGGAAAGAGATATCATCTAAAATGCTAGAAAGTAATTGCTATATTTATATTAATGAGGGACAACATATGACCCTCCAACGTATACCCTTTGTTCCTCAGTCACCCAGAGCCCATGCTTCACCCTGCCTCTCTCATATTAATTGTTCTAGGCAATAGTAGTTCTTTCTCAGGGCCACAGGGATCAGTTTGCTTCACTTCTCAGTTTTCTTTAAGGGATGTCATGCCATTATTACTTCAAAAGAGTTTAGTACAGAGGAGAGTAATAGCAACATCTTTTCTAACAGTTATTGAAGAAGGTGGTGTGAAAATGAAGCTGACAGTGATTGACACCCCTGGATTTGGTGACCAGATTAACAATGAAAACTGGTGAGTGCTTTGTTCTGTCACAGATTCTCAGTACAAACTGTGCTCTCTCTTCTTCTCTTGGGTGATTAATAAGTAGTGGAAAGGAGCAGGGCATGAAGAACAATAGAATTTCCATGTTCTGAGACAGGTTTCACTTGGAAGGGTAAAACAATCCAAAACAGTGAAGAGGACTATTGTGGCCTCCAATCCTAGCTGTTCAACATTGGAGCGGTCATGTTATTGAGTTATTTACAAATCAAGGGTCAGCTAAGAATGTCAGTGTTCCACATGCAAAGGATAAATATATACAGTGACCCATTTATATACTAGGGAATCACCTCAAAAATGTGGTGGGATATTACACTGGGATATTACCCTTGCCTATTCATGAACTTTAAATAATGATACAAATGCAGGAGCAGGTGATAACTTTCTTAGACCACTAAAACAAACCAAGCAAACAACAGGCAGACAGCTTTTGATAATAATTCCTCTTCTTCAGGCTGTGCACCAAGTTCTTGTGGGTACTTAAGAGAAATATAGACTTTTATTAAATTCCCGTAGTCTCATGGTTGTTCTTGGAGCCAGGTTAACTTCTTTAGATGGGTACAGATATAATCTGAAAAAGGCTTCTGTAGGAAAGGTACGGTTTCAAACCCCTCCTCAGCCAGCAGTTTGGAATTTATCAACCAGCTCTTTAAACAAAAGGCCACCAAGCACTCTGCATCCTCCTCGTCTCCCTCTTCATCTTCTTTTTGAAACTCAAAGAAATAAATAGTGAGCAGTTTGTAAAACAGACTTTGAGAAATCATATATACATGTTAGGAGTTATGTTGTGCAACAATTCCCCTTGAAGAACATCAAGATCCGTTAGTGAAGTCACAGGAATCTTCCATATGCAGCCAGAATGAGAAGGGACAGAATCTCCTTAAGAGACACCTACAGTGAATCAACCTGAGATTGAGGCAATTGGAACTGCCATCTTGAGTGGAGGAGGGCCACCAGTGTAATATCCTAGCAGATTTTAACATAGTTCTCTGTGTCCAGATTTTGCAATACTCTTACTAAATGAATACAGTCGGACAGATACCCTGCATCAAATTCTGTGCTCACTGTTGTCAATACATTTGGGAAGTCTCGGGAACGTTATCTTAGGGAACGTTATGCTTCCATGGGTCTTCTGATGTGGACAGAAACCTCAGGGTGAATGGCAATGCAAGAAGAGAAGATTTTATTTGTGTGCATGAGTGTCTTTAAAGCAGTGGTTCCCAACCTTGGGTCCCCAGATGTTCTTGGACTATAGCTCCCAGAAATTGGGGCCAGCACAGCTAGTGGTTATGTTTCTGTGAGTTTCAGTCCAAGAATATTTGGGGAACCAAGGTTGGAAACTGTTACAGAGTTTTGAATGTTGATTAAATTCTTCTAGCTGTACTGGATAAGTGCAGGGATCCACAGAGCAGAATAGCTTCAAGTTCCCCAGATTAGTGCACCTTTTTTTCTCATTAACTGATAGATTGACTCACTCTGAGACATTAACAGTAGAAAGAATTAAAAGTTTCATTACTTACAATTGAACAGATCAAACAGCGAACTGACAAACATGACTACTTTCAACAACAGACTTCAACAGACTGCTTTCAACAGATTAACTCAGTGCCAGCAGAGAGGCAGGGCTCTCTTTGAATTCAGAGGCAGGGAAGGAACAATTGGTTACTGCCGCATAAATTGACAATCACCCCAGTCCATCCCAGCCACACCTTCTCCAGTCATCATGTAAGACTACAAAAACTCCAACAGAAATAAATGCTTTAAAATCTAGACATCCATCTCTACCCATCCCCTGCTGTCACCGGGGTTACAGTAATTGCCTATGTATGAAGATGTACATGTTGGTGTCTCAAAAAACAAACAAAACACAAAATAAGGGGAGGGGACTTAGGAGAAAGCATGTAACTGGACCCAATTTGCTGTGTGCAGTAAGGCAGGAGAAGAGCCCTAGTGTTGTGACTTGGGAGTAGACTTGCTGCATAAATCCTGACAGCAGTAATGCAAGGTCTAAGTGGGGGGGAAACTGTCTGTGGCTGGCAGTGAGCCTCCCATGACCATGTAATTCCTGAAGAAATGCCCCATGTATCATGTATGCCATAGGTAAGGCCTTTGGGGATGCAATCGCTAGCAGGAATTCAGCAGCCACTGAAGCTGGCGGGTGCATTTTTCTCCCTGCCTAGCCATCAAAAATGACTCTGCCCTGACTCTGAGGTGTCATATTACTTGGCTAGCTTAGTTTTATCTGACTTCTAAGCCCAATGACCCAGATCCTCCTTGTGCCCGTTTCCACAATAAGGAGAACCAGAAGTATTTTCACCCTCTCCCAACCCTCTGTGACATCAGTTTTTGGATACACCTATTTGTGTAACATTCTAATGTCATAGTCTAACCCAGCAGTTCCCAGCCTTGGGTAACCCAGGAGTTCTTGGACTGCAATTCTCAGAAATCCCAGCCAGCACAGCTGGTGGTGAGGGCTTCTGGGAATTGCAGTCCAAGAACACCTGGGTAGCCCAAGGTTGGGAAACACCATTTTAAACAGTAAGACTCTCTTCTAAGAAAATGCATTAGTCCTCTATTTTTCTGCATTTTACCTTTCTCATCTCAGAGTTTGTTTGGCTTAGGTAATCACCTAGGTTACCACAGGAAACAAATCTGAACATATTTTTGTTGTGTACAAATTCCCATTCCTGTTTTCTTATTACTGGTGCCAAACTGGTGTCTTTTTATATTTGAAATTAAGGAGTACACTGGCTGAATGTGAGGAAGGATTACATATCTCTGCCTATTTTTAAATTCATTTTCTTCCTGATCTTCTTAGCTGGGAACCAATTGAGAAATACATCAACGAACAGTATGAAAAATTCCTGAAGGAGGAGGTGAATATTGCAAGAAAGAAACGAATCCCAGACACCAGAGTCCATTGTTGCCTCTACTTTATCTCTCCAACAGGTCACTCGTACGTATCTTTTAGCAGTTCTAGAGCATGTACAAAAGGGGTGGGATGGGAAGCTGCCTCTGGTGTGATGCTTGAACAAAATATGACTTCCAGAATCCAATTGGCACCTATATATATAGAGTGTGCACATCTATCCCAATATGCTGCACAGTAGACCAGGATAATCATAATATATACACACAAGATGGCACCGTTGACATACTAGCCGTAGTATCTCTTCCACTTTTCCGCCCATGTGATCGCTGTGATGAAAAAAATTTACATGCCTTGTCATGCAAATTGCATGCCCTGCCAGAAATCCAACAATGTACAAATGAAGACCAGTGAAGGATATGGTGTTCCATTTCTATTCTTGTCTATCTCTTCCTGCCCCTTTTCATAATTAGCAGAAACCTTCAATGGACAATCCAAGCATGCTGGAAATAGAAGTACTGTGCTGCTGAGGGAAGAAAAAAAAATCTTTGTATGCTTGTGTATGTTGTTGTATACTAAGTTCACACACATGTATTTTCCCACTGGGAATCTGCTATCCATTGTGGTTTTCTACCAAGTGTGTTTATTTGGCAAAATACTCTTGTTAAATCTTTGCACATGATAGTATACATTAAGGTGTTTGTTTCTGTGGGTTTTGTTCTAACTTCTGGTTTTGCAATCTCCTTCGTTTTTTCTTCATTTCTCTCCCTATCATTCTGTGTATGTCTAACGGCTGCTGAATACCACCACCACCACCAAACAAGAAACAAGGAGAGATCCAGAGTCCTGTTTGTCCTCCCCTTCATAACTTAGGAACTAAGAAAATGCAAAATCTGCAGTGGTTAGGAGGAACAGGGCCGTGGTGGTTTCCTAACAGGGTTCTTCTTGGTTTGTAGCTTGCGACCTTTGGATATGGAATTCATGAAACACTTGAGCAAAGTCGTGAACATAATTCCAGTTATTGCCAAGGCAGACACAATGACTCTAGAGGAGAAAACAGAGTTCAAACAGAGGGTAAATATCTTCTTACTTGACAATCAACCAGTAAAACACATAAATGCACAACTTTTCTATCTTATGCCAAGGATACTCTGCTTACATAGCTTTTCATTTGGAATGTTTCTCTGCTCAGGTCCGCAAAGAACTAGAAGTAAATGGAATTGAGTTTTATCCCCAGAAGGAATTTGATGAGGACCTTGAAGATAAGACAGAGAATGACAAAATCAGGGTAAGATGCTGATGACTTTGACTGACTGTTGGGTCCTCCCTATAGTTTTTCAGAAGATTACTAAAGGCAGTATAATTTAGAGAAGCCTATGGCAACCCTCCATGCTAATCTTTTGTAATGCATATGTACGGTTTGGATTTGATGGCATTTTATCATTTTTCATTTATTATTTGGTGCATGTTGTATATTTTGTTTATTATGGCTTTGTATGGTTCAACTTATTAATGTCAGGGGTCAGCTGTGAGTCACCTTTTTTTATTAATATTGATTTCAATGGCCTTTGCCACTGTGGTCTGCCTTAAGGGAATCCAGGTTGCCCTTTGCAAAGATGGTGGCTGCAGCTTCCCTGCCCTAAAAGAAGCTGCAGCTACCATCTTTGCAAAGGGCAGCCAATGTCCCTTCTGGCAGGCCATAGCTGTGGAGGCCATTTCAGTGGGCAGCAATGGATGGTGGCGGCAGTGGGCAGCGATGGATGGTGACAGCACTGGGCAGTGGCAGATGGTGGGCAGCAGCTAAGGTAGGGAGGGGAAGGGACAGAAGACAGGCTGTGGAGGTGGCTAGCTGTGGGGCTGGCTGGCTGCCTATGGACCTGCTGATCAGCTGATTGGCAGGCCCATAGCCAGAATGGGAAAGTCATAGGCATAGCCTTCCCTCTCTTCCTATGGGGGATGAATAAAAATGGGGCAATATTCATCCCTTTGTATTTGTCAGGGTCTCTGGAACCCATGAATACAAAGGGACAAATATTTAACAAATCAGCAATTTTTAAAGAATATTGCAATTCATTTTTTTATTCATCCCCATGTCTAACTAGCCTAAAGACTATTTTGACCAGCAGTAGCCACTTATGTGCCCGGTTTTATAAACAAATATGTACTAGGGTGAGCAAAAACTGTATGGAGCAAGATGGCAAAGAAATACAACTGTTGATCTTATCTGTTGTACAGAGAAATATATACATTTCATTCTATATTCTCAGCAGGAAAGTATGCCATTTGCAGTTGTGGGCAGTGACAAAGAATACCAGGTGAATGGAAAAAGGGTCCTGGGAAGGAAGACACCCTGGGGAGTCATTGAAGGTAAACAGATGATCATCCTGCCATTTGGAACAGACATACTTTTAGACACTAATAGGCTGCACAAGGTAAAATAGCAAAATCAACGGCAAGTTTAAAATTGGTACCACTGCTATTATGTCTTACTCTTTTGCCATTCCCTTCCTGAATTTCTTCTCTCTCCGGTGGAGGCCATTAGGTATAATTTATTTGACTGAAACTAGAATTAACTGTGGATACTTTCAACACTGAAAATTTCAGTGAGCAACTAGACAGTGATGGAGAGAGCAGAAGAATAAAAATCTATATGGACAATCATAACATGTTAGACGTGAAAACTGCATCTGTATAAGACATATACTAACTGGCAAATTGGTACGTGATCTGGGTACCAAATTGTAGGAGGAAAAGAAACCCCGGTATTTGTGCTTTATTGACAGAAGTATTAGTTTGCATTTTGGATACATTAACTTGAGAAAGTTAAGAGAAAGGAAATGTTTCCACCCCCATCTCTCCCTGCAAATGCAACCCACCAACAAGATGACCTACTATGTATACCGAAAAGAAAATTAATGAACTATGTGTTGATAGTTTTTAAATGTTTTGAAGAATATCAAAGGGGGTAATTTATGCTAGAACTGACAATAAGGAAAGATGAAATAGTTTTAAGTACAGGGGGTCTACATTTTAAACAGGTAATATCTGAATAGAAGACCTATCTGGTAGTTTATTAAGGTGCTTTGGCAGATTCCAGTTCTCCCAAAAAAACCCCACTAAACTTTAGATTGTTATTTCAGACAAGATGGGAAATCTAGAAGATGCAAGCAATCAACTTTACGTAGTCTTGCTGCTCAAGGGAAGAGTTGACTTTCATGATTTTCTCCCAGTTGTAATTCTGTTGTTGGAGCTCTTATGTAAGGCATGAGTAATGTATTTTTCTTTATTTATAGTGGAAAATCTCAACCATTGTGAATTTGCTCTACTGCGGGATTTTGTCATTAGGTGAGTCCATTGACTGTTATAGGGCCCTGCCTACTGAAGTGAAAATAACTGTCTGGTCAGAGAAGAACTGTAAAAACAAGTAAAGTGTGTTTATATGAGAACAACTGTAGCATTTGAAATTGCTTATTAACGTACAGTACTATGAATACTAGAAACACGGGATTTTTCCAAGACTTTAAAGTCATTTAACGTAAATTCTGAGGGGGAAAATGTTAGATGAAGTGAAATGTTAAATGTAATTTGCGGTGGGGGGGCTGGACAAACAGAGTGCTGCTCTCCAGAGTTTGTTGGAGTGTAGCTATAATCTTCCCTAGCTGACAAAGCTAATGCTGAAGGAAGATGAGAATTCCACTCCAATAACATGCAGAGGGCCACATTCATGGAATCACAGAATCATAGAAAAGTTGGAAGGGGCCTACAAGGCCATCAAGTCCAACCCCCTTCTCAGTGCAGGAATACAATCAAAGCATATCTGCCAGATGATTATCTAAGTTTTTCTTGAATGCCTCCAGTGTTGGAGCACTCACCAACGCCCGAAGTAACTGATTCCACTGTCGTACTGCTCTAACAGTTAGGAGGTTTTTCCTGATATTCAACTGAAAACTGGCTTCCTTTAACTTGAGCCCATTGTTCGTGTCCTGCACTCTGGGATGATCGAGAACAGATCTTGTCCCTCCTCTGTATGATAGCCTTTGAAATATTTGAAAGGTGTTATATATCACCCCTCAGTCTTCTGTTCTAAGGCTAAACATGCCCAATTCTTTTAGCCTTTCCTCATAAGGCTTGGTTTCCAGCCCCCTGATCATCCTTGTCACCCTCCATTGAACCCAACCCTGATGGAAGGCAATCCATTCCAGGTCAGAACATATTCCATAGTCTAATGGCTCTGGAATGGTGGTGACCAACTAGTAAAGCAGGGGTGGGCAACATGCAGTCTATGGGTTAAATGTACCCCTTAGGGCTCCTATGTACCCCATAGCACCTCTGTCCCCAATCCCTTAACATTTTTTTTTACTTTTGGGGGGACGGATGGTCAGAAAGTCTCTTTATGCCTTCTATGGTGGTTAAGAATAATTAATTTTTAAAAATGTATTACATAAATTTACAAAATGCAAATACAAGTAATAATAATAATTGTGTGTGAGAGAGAGAGAAACACAATAAAAACACAAGTAGTCTCTTGTCTTTCAACCTAATGAGCTGGAAATTTTGCAATCTCTTGAGGCCCCTCCTGTGTTCTCACATCCTCATCTCTTTTTAATGTTTGAGCTAGAAAAGAACAACCAACATTGTCACGAGATTAGAAGGAAAGGTACATGTTTGTAGAGTTTTAGTTTTTTAAAAAAAGTTGGTCAAGGAGAGACATGACAGAAAACGATGCGTGGCCTGATGTTCTCCATTTTCCATGATGCTAAAAATTCAATTCAAGACAGACAAAAGAAAGTAGTTCCTCATACAAAACAAAACTGATTTGATGGAAGATGGGAAGATTCCCTCTCCCCAGTTTGGCATAGTTCTAAAATTCTTTAATAAATTTAAAAAGTCAAGTGTATTGAAAATAAATGCTAATCTTGGTGTGAAGAAGGAGAAAATAATCTTGTGCAGGGCATATCAAAAGGAGGGAAGAAGCAATGCTGCATCACTGAAAGAAGTATGCAGTCTTTAAATAGATAAATGTAAGCAAAAGAAAGGTATGATCTGATGAGCTAATGCTTGTGGTACCTCTTTGCTACCTCTTTAACTAATAAAGTTACATTGGTACATTGTTATTTGCATGATAGGGTAGCTCCGTCTCTCTGTTCTCTTCCTTGCATTATATTCTTTTTTTAAAACTTTTTTTCTCCTCTGTTCTTCAGGACCCACCTTCAAGACTTAAAAGAAGTAACTCACAACATCCACTATGAAACGTACAGGGCCAAACGACTCAATGACAATGGGGGACTTCCACCAGTGACCGTAGAGACAGAAGAAAATCATGAAAGTAACCTGTAAATGAACTGTCTTGTTAGCCACTGTCTCAGAATTATGTCCACTACCCCCATCTCTTGATTTGAATTCAGGCCTCTTGTTGAAGCATGTGGGATACCTTTTATGTGTACAGAATGGGGAAGAACCAGAGATATGGACCCCATTTCCCCCCAAACCCCATCTTATTCTATTATTATTATTGTTATTATAATTATTATTTGATTTTTCTATTTTGCACAGCAGACTCTGGTCTTCCACTGTATTCCAGTATTCAGTTGTGCATCCTAGTTGTTTGAAATGTAGAGGAAATTCTGGAAGTGGTACAGTCTTTGGGGGCCTGTGAAGCATCCCCAAGAAATATTAAAATGGGATTAGTGTACGGCTGTTGTAAGCACTATGGAGGAAACAGAGAGCCATACCTTGGATGCAAGTTTCAGTGGTCTGGAAGAGCTTGGGTTGCTTTGCACTGTGATAGGTGGTTTGTGTGTAATAGGTTTACTTCTCCATGTAGAAGCAGGGAAAATAGACTTAGACTGGGATACTGAGCACAGCTATGTGGTAGTAAGTGCCAGTGAGATCAATGGGAAGGATTTGTTGCCAAATAAATGTGTTTATTTAGAATTGGTGTGCCAGTGTGCAAAGCAGGACTGTGGTCATTTTGTTTCTCACAGTAAGACTAATTAGAGGCAAATTTGTAGAGAGTTACATAATCTGCAAGTAATCATTTTCTTGGTGTCGATAAAAAAGAAGAGCATTTTACAGAGGAATGCATTTCAAATTGTGGCATAAATAATTCTAGTTTGATACAAATGCCACCCCTAAGTTGTCATTATGCGTGTTACACCTCATGGTCCTGCTCTGACACTTCGCGTTGTTAGAGCTACCCTAAGGTTGTTTAATACAGAGACATTCCTGTAACAATTACCTTTGGATTGCTGCTGCTGCAAGAATCATAAAAAGTGTTGAAATGTTCCAATTGTGCCTTTCCTCCCTCTGACCCACAGCATACAAGAGGAGAGCTTTCTGCTTAAATAGGGAACACCTTAGGCTGGGACTATGCCCCAGAAAATGTCCCCAAGTATTACACAGGGAAAGGTCAAACAGCATGAATGGGGGGGCTCCTTAGGGGACCTTATAATGCAGAAAGCTGAAATGGTGTTCTAATGATTAAAGGGACTTCACTGCTTTGTTTAGTTCCTGAACTGTCTCTGTTTCACCTTATCTTTGTTACTCCACATACCTTTCAAAGTGTCATAACTACAGATCAGTATTGACCTGTGTTTTAGAGAAAAAGTAACCTATATTCATTTTCAGACATTTATATTCTTGTATCCCAATTTAAATCTAATTAACTCTCCCCAATGTAATTTATTAGCTTAACACTGCACTCTACCTTTCTTTGAAGAGGATCTAAAGGGGCTAACAAAGGAAAATGTAAATTGAGAAATTGCATTATACCAGAACTTGGAAATGTTACTTTTTTGGATTATAACTCCTAGAATTCCATAACCAGCATAGATACTGGCTAATGTCTTCATCATAACATCATAGAAAGGTATAAACAGAATAAAATCTGTTACACGTATTACACAATGGTAACAGGTCATTGCAGATGAACCTTTAAAAAATCATAATATTGGCATTCACAATGGTAGTAAGTCACTGAAGATCAATCTAAAGAATCAATATTCTGTGGGATTTCCTAAAGGCTGGAAATTTAAAGACAGGAAGACGTTTTTTAGGGAAGGATTTCCATACAAACAGAGCCATATTTCATCAGAGCCTCTATTTCTCTCTCTCTTAAAATTGTCACCATTTTTGGCAGTGTCCAATCTGTAAAAGAACCAAGACAGGAGAGCTTCCAAACATTTTTCCATGAAAAAGACCCACATTTTTGTTGATACAACTAGAGGTCCACACATGAAATGCACACACTTTTGCAGCCTCACAGCATCCATACTAGGCACACACAATAATATTTAGAAGAAAATAGGAAAAGCCATGCTACATCAGATCAAACATCTATTAGTCCAGGATTCTGTTGCAGTCCCAACCAATTGCCAATATGATGCCTGCAAACAAGACATGAATGCAACAGCAACTTCTTACTGTGGTCCCAGCAAATGGCTTTCATACTCTGAATGAGAATATATAGTCACCAAGACTAGTAGCCATTGATAGCCTTAAAAGCCATGAATTTGTCTAATCCCCCTTCAACGTCATATAGGTTCATGGCCATCACTGCAAAATCCATAGTTGATTTGCTTGTCTGGATTCTCTTACTATTCCTTTTCACTGGAGGAACCTAGCTTATGTGCCGTAAGACAAGGAGAAAGGTATCTTCCTCTCCATTTTTCCCCACAACATGCATGGAAATTCATATAAAAGCAATGTGATATTGGCTATTTTAAACACTTCTTTTTAAATTGCACCCAACATCCTTGAGGACCCCACTGTTTACACCATCCCTGTAAACAGTCACAAATGTCATTGTGAGAACCAGCAGTTCATTCTCTGTCCTTTTTTTTTGTCCTTTAAACAGATATGAATATATGAGGCATTGTTTTCTTTTCCCTTGACTCCTGAGGCTGCTCAGAAGTCTTTGGTAAAGGATTTTGTTAACAGCTTTAGGAAGTTCAATTAAACTGTGTCTACCAGATCATTCCTGTCCACAGGCTTATTGACATTCTCAAAAGTTTCCTCTAAAAGGTTAATATGAAGCAGAAGCCACATTACCAATGGTGCGGGTAGAATTACTTCACCAGTGTGAGCTGCCATTCATCAGAGCATGCAAAACTCAAATGTTCCCCATCTAAGATATATGTACGTTACTTCCAAGCATTACTAGTCAGATTTATGCAGCTAGTCTGTCTTTTCCTCCTTTATAGACATTTTGGGGGGGAGGGGAGGAGAAGAGGGTAAAAAGAATGAGGGAAAGGTTACAGGTAGAAGAAAATAATATCCATTTCTTCTGCAGAACTCTTATCAGTTAGGTGAGGGGAGTTGCATAATAAAAGTTTCATCTGGAAGTATAGACAGTACGGTACTATGCCACATCCTTGTTTATTTCCATAGACACAGCTGCTTCAAAGCAGCCAATATTTGACCAAGAGAATGAGACCTACTCCAAAATAAGAATAAGGGTGATGACTGCTATCCCATGCTCTGGGGACACAGGATAGTGATATAGTATTACTAGATGAAGCAAAAGACCCAGATCTTTATAGCTCAGGCAAATATAGTACAGTATTTCATAACATTGTATCAGGACTGGAATCCTGTGACTTTCGACAAATGATCTTATTCTTCAATGTAATATGTCTTCAGTTCAGGCCTAGTCAATGAAATGCAAGTTCTCCTGACACTGAGACAGGTCTGTAACTTATTTCTGTCCAAAGTACTTTAAGTTTTAAAATATCATATACCTATTGGGCAGGTTGTAAACATACTTAATCTAACATAATTTAATGTCATAAATGAAATGAACTTGTGGATCTTAGCCTGTCCTATGAGGATTTTTATGAATTTTGTATGATTTTTAACCTTCTATAGCATTGCAACAGTGAGACATAAAAACTACAGGACTTTTCTAAAGATGATGGATAAAGCCATAAGCACCATCTATGACAGGGAAGGCAGATGAACATCTCAGCGGAGGAAGTGCATGTTTGCACTGCTTTATGAAAAGTGTTGCCACAGAATTAAGAAGCCTTGTACAATTTTTTAAAGCGTAACAAAACACTTCTTGTCTACTCAGAAGTGAACCTCACTGTGTTCAGTGACACTCTCAAATAAATATGTTTGAAGCTAAGACAACCCACTATGATAGCAAAAATGTACAAAGTTAGGTTAGATACTGAATTGATATCTAGAGACTAAGGAGAATTTATATGCATCAGAAGAAGTAAGCAGTTTCCCATGTCCAGCATGTCTGTGTAGAAACCTATTCTGTATCCTGCTGGTCTTCTTAGATACCCCAGCATCATCAGACACAAGCAGCATGGCTTCTACATCTGCTCTTTTAACATTTTTCTAGATTCTGGGCAGAAGAAACCAAAGTTCTGCTGCCCCTTAACATTATTTTGCTTAACACACAAGGAAAGCTTCAGCAATGATTCTTGAAATGATACACATCTGCTTTTCTCATGCAAACAGAGATGACCACATCAAAATCCCAATTGCATCCTCCTGTCGTGTTTCTAATCATATCAATGTGTTGCTTGTGTTAATTTTATCCTCTGTCATACAGTGTACTTTTTATTCAAAACACTGTTAAAAAGTAGATTTGGTGGTAAATTTGTCTAGGCCAGTTATGGCAAACCTTTTTGATCCCAAATGCCCAAACTGAAAAAAAGAAAACAACCCAGTGGGCAGCAGGCTGTGGGGGTGGCAGATGTGGTGGTGGAAGGGGGAATCCTGGGCATGGAGGTGCCTCCAGACCCCACTTCAGATCCACCTCCAGTTGTGCCCAACCCAACCCCTGCCTATAGCTTGGCCAGCCCGCCACCACCAGTGCCAGCTGCTCCAAATCCTGGCCCACTGTCAGTCGGGGCACTAGCACTACAGCTGCAGCCGCCTCCTCAGGTTTGGCTGCCAGTGGTAGCGATCCAGTGACTTATGGCTCGCGTGTCCACAGAGAGGGCTCTGAATGCCAGCTGTGGCGTGTGCCATAGGTTCACCATTGCTGGTCTAGGCAAATGTATCAGCCTCTTCTATGAGTTTCAGTGTTGGGATATGCCTGTAATTTCCCTATCTATGCTCCACAGGCAATCAATAATAGCAAGATAATTTCACTACCAATAATTTCTTATCAGCCTTCTCAATTGTCAGCAGTTGGACTGGTGCACAGCTGCCATCTGGAGAGCACCAAATTGTATGTAAAATGAATGGGAGCAGGGAACCTTGACTGTTCGTTCCTTCACAAGCAAAATAACTGGAGAATCTAAGCGAGGTCAAAACATCATAGTAAATTGTTATTTATAAAAGTGTCTAAAATACATTCTTCACTGCAAAGAAATAAAATACACAGTTCCACATTGGTAGAAATAAAAAGAGCCAGTCCATGTCTGCAGTCTAAGAAACGAGAGACCAATGGACATGGTGCCTGGAAGGGAAAATAGTTACTCACATAAAAACCAAAACCAAAGAACAAAGTAATACTATCTAATAACTAACCTAAAAGACCAGGAAAAAGCATCAAAGCATCAAATTAGAACACCGAGAAGAAAATGAGAGACAACAGAATTTTTAAAAAACATCTTAAAGCAAGCCAGGGAAGGCAGATGAATATCCCAGAGGACGAGAATTTCATGCATACATTGTGACACCTACAATTTTAAGTGGGTGTCAAATTATTTTAATTTGATGATTTCACTTACTTACATTATATGTTTTTATGGAGTTTTGAACAGGGTGTCAGAAGGATAATTGTATCCTGAGAGACAGTAAATAAGTAAGCACCCTGAGAGAAAAAGACAAAAAGATGATAAACAATATGAATGGAACTTCAGTAAGAAAGTTTAACATTTGATGAAAGGAGGATTTCTAAATAACTGGTGAAATTTCTCGAAAAGGTTCCTCATATTTCTAGGCTGTTATCAATGTATCCTAAAGAAGCCTTTAAAAGAAATTACAGATGAATGAAATGAAAGATCTGTCTATCAAAGGAATTGAAAAAGATATTCCAGTAAAATAAGCAAAATAGCTCACTGGGACAGTCACACTGGGTATCACTGGGTATCTCCACATGGTGACCCCTTTTGACTTGCCTGTGGACATGAGAGGATAACCACGAGATGACAGTCAACTTTGGATATGTGACCACCCCATAAGATATTTTGTTCTGACTGAGAGTTTTAGCCAATTCATTCCAGACTGTTTGGGGAGCAATTTGTGGTTTAGAAAAAATTGCCATGTACTGAAAACCATCACACAAAGTAAGATAAACTAGATTGGACTTCACTTGGTAGTTG